CAAAATCTAGCCACAGAAACCAACTACATTTGGGATACTTATGGGATCTTTTTACCTGGCTGCCTTGTTCATGGTACTTGTAGGAATAGACTTCTTTCTGAGACCTCACTGTTTCCATTCAATTTAGTTTAAAGTGGCTTACTGGTCATGAAAATAAAGAGGTGAGTGACCAGCAGTCATGAGGTATGCACATGTGCTGCTCACAAAAGCCTTTTTTCCTTAGGAAACAGAGCAGGTAACTTTTTGTTGTGCTGTTTCTGAAAAACTATGGTCAATTGTGGTTTGTATTTACCCAAAGAATAAATTAATTCAGTGAATATTGTTGATGTTCCTTTACATTTCAGATTATCAGACAACAGGGCGACTGGTGTAAGGCATTCAGCAGTGGCAGTGTCCTCTGTCCATTGGTGTTAACAGGCTGTGCAGGCGTCAGAATTGGGGTCATTTGCATCTGATCCCTTCTGATACCTGACTGAAGACTAGAATTTCATAATTCATTGTCAGAGCAGTTATTTGAAGTCTTTTCTGGTTCACAGTGAAGCCTTGCTGCATGCATTTGGCAGAACAGACTCCAAACAAAGAAAGGTTGACATAGTAAAAGGCAAATTTTCCAGTACACTTACCTTGAAGTAGAGCATCTGGTATGTCGATTTTACAGGAAGGCCTATAGAATATAAGTAATAGGATTTGTAGGGGAGGCAACAAGCAGAAGCTATTGCAATTTTTTATCTATCTAAACGATAATGGGCAATTAATGTTATTTGTGCTGTTCTTAAACTGGATTTTTATAGAGTTTATTCCAAGAAAGAAAGGAAGGAAGAGACAAACCGAACAAAATTGTTATTGCATTTTAAATATCTATTCAAATAAATTGTCACTTGTTTCAGTGACCAGCAACATTATTAAATTCAAGATGAACCACTTGTGCTTCAGGACTTAAAATTATGAAGAGAAGCATGCGCACAGTGTACTTTCACTTTTTGTTAATGGATAAACACAATACAGAAGGCATTAATTACTTTGAAAGTGTTTTGCTAGTCTTGTGTTTCTGTGGTTAAAATAACCACCAAGTTATTTCTCTGCATCCCGAATACCTGGACATTTCATCAGTGGCACTTGAGCACAGAAATATTCCTAGGACAGCCTTTGCTGGAAGCAATATGCAAGTTTTGCGTAGCAAGCTGATGTTTGTTGGTTATGGAAATGCTTAGATTAAGAAGGTACTTAACTATCTGTCTCTGTCTTTAAAATGGCTTCTATAACACTACTGCCTAATAGTAGCTTTGTAGTATGCAGGTTCCCAAGACACTATTTGAATGCCACCTGACAAAATACAAAGGTTAATTATGTTTGAAGAATAGCTGTGTTTTGCTGTGTGTAAGCTAGAGTGTGTGGAGACAAATGACATAATTAGCAAGAAGGTTTGTAGATCCTGTCAGATTTTTGGAGAAGCCTTTTTGGTTGATTTCTACCACAACACAATGTTCTCATATGGAAAATCTAGAGAGGACTGGTTTTTTCCTTGGAGTGGGGTTTGTATAAAGATCCTTATGTATATCACATGGTTCCAGAAGGGTGTGGGAGTCTGGATGAGGATCTGCCAGAACAGGATGAAGACCTAATTGAGAAAAGTACATCAGTAGCATTATTAGAAAGCTTTCTGTTCTGAATGAGACTGGAAAAAGGGACAGGAGATCTGCTATTCCTATCATCTTGGCAAACGTCTGTTAATGGATTCCACCTTCCCTTTACATATTTTGATCCTTACCATATATAGATAGCTTTAATTTGAAATGGAACTTTTGTTTCAGTCTAGTACCTGACATTATCCTATTAGTAAGAGGTTTTCAGCTTGTGTGTTCCTCTCAAATGTGGTTGAAGATTCTTGGAAGTGCGTTTCTGAGGTGTTTCCTTTAATAGCTTTGAGGAATCTGAGCTGATGAATTGTTTTGTGAGTTAACTCGTGGTCATCCCTTGTCTTTCTGTTTAGATTAGAGGACTTTGCATTTCCTCTTTGAGGAGGTAAATACAACACGCTGCTTGTAGATGGAGAAATGAGAATGGTCTCAGCCACTTTTGGAAACATAAAATTAGTTCTGCATCTCTTTAGTACACTTGATGAGGTTTTAATTACTGACTTCTTTGAGATACTCCAAGAGGGGAAAAAATACCTGCTTTCTGAATCTTAGTTGGCCAATAACCTGGAGTAAAGAGACTTCACTAAGAGCTGCCTGATAAAACACCTCGGTACATATTTTCCCTGGAGCAGGTGTACTGCTGTGCCAACAATACTGGCTAAAGGCCAGTTTAGGTCACTTAAAATATGCACCATTTCTTTCCATTTCTTTCCCATGTGTAAATGTAAACACTTTCTAACTGTGGTGAATGACTGGGGAATGAAACTTGAGAGAGCAGGGGAACAGGGAGGAAAAGACACTGGGATAAAAAGGACTTGGTCCATGTGTTTCACTTTCAGACCTGCTTTGCAGACTGCACTTAACAGGCAAGGGTGCGTGGAATGAACGAAGACACTTAACTGCTTCAGCACTTAAATGAAGGAGAAATAAGAAGGAATCTGCTAAAATGCCAGTGATCAAAGAGGAAAGTTGCATTGTGGTTTTGTTTATTTAACAAGAATACAGTAGGAAACTTTGCCAAAAGGGAAACAGATTAGCTCATTTTTGCGGTATTGGGTAGAACATGTCAGTGGTGCAGGTTATGAATTTGATTTCATTGCTAACATGGATTTAAGATGTGCTCACCCATTTAGTTGTCTGCCTCTTTGTACTTACCATCTCCATTATCATGAACTGTGCAACTAGATTCTTCCCTTCAAATTCAGCTATTTACAGGGTATACTGCCTCTCTAGACTCTTGGTTAAAGGAGAGAAATAGCTGCATCTCATTGCAATGTACCTTGGGCCTAAAGAGGCCAGATGAATTGGACTTCAGAAGTTTCTATATCTCTCCATTGACTTAAAGATAATGTGGAAAAACAGTTCACCTAAACTGTTGTAAAAGTCTAATGTTAAGGAGTTCAGTCTAATCTTGACTGTATTATGTGTAGTGTTAAGTATTTTAGTAATAATAACATGTTTAATAATAATAATACATATAATGTATCAAGTATAGTCCTGGAAGCATACAGTTTCTATCAGAAAACTGTAATTGGGCATTATTGTGAGGGCATAGGCTGATAGAAGAGGTAACCTTGACAATCCCTTGAGAAGACTCCATTGTCTTATCACCTACATGGTTAAAAAAAAGCATGCACACACAAACGTATATATAAATATATATTACTTTTTACTTACTAAAACTGTAACTAAAAAAATAGAGATGTTACTGCCCAAATGTGGCTTTTCTATTTGTTACTTACACTCTTTTTCATTATCTGCGAGAAATGGCGTACTGTTAACTGATTCAGAGAACAGACACCAATTTGAAAACAATACATTTTTGCAAGTGTTAAGTGGATGTTTGTTCAGGTGACACATTTTCAAAGAACTGGAGTACAAAAATATATATTTTAACCAATGATTTAGATAAATGTAAATTCTGCTGGAAGAACTGTTGTTCAGAGAGGCTTTTCCATGTTACAGAGTGGAACTGTGGGGCTGTGCACTGGCTGAAATTATACAGATATATCATGCTTTGATGCGTATGCAGTTTTTCTTCTTTAAAAAGCTATTTTATTGAAGTTAAATTATTGTAGCAATATGAAAAGGTATAGTTTGCTCTGAATTTATCCTTAGAGGGCCAGCAGATCATTGCTTTTTCTCTGAAATTAGATAGAAGGATCCAGATGGCAGATTTTAAGCCCATCAGGTGTTTAAAATATGCCCCTCAGCTAAAAAGAAGTATTATAGTTAAATCTGTCATGGCCTTTTTATTGCTCTGTGGTATACTTGACAAGTGCAGCCGTGAAGGAGAGAAGCTACAAGTAGCCCAGTCAGCCTGAAGTGGAGTAGGTCAGTGGTTGGTTTCTTTAGCTGCCCCAGGGAGTTTAATGGACATACAGACCTGGTTTATGGAATCATTAAATCCATCATAGTATAAGCTCCCATGGAGGCAGTGAATTTGTTCCCATAGTTTCTTCCAGATACTATGGTAGGCATTAGAAAAGTAATGTAAGTGAAACATGGAGGGTAGGAAAAAGGAAACCCTCCCCCCCCAGCAAAATGACCCTTCCACATCCCCAAGGAGTCATCAGTAATAATAACAGCAATAATAAAATGCATCTCAGCTGGTGCCTTGCACTGCATTTCTCAACTGGCACTCACTCAGAACTGTCACAATAGGCTGAGCGCTGATAATTCATATCCCAGAGTCCTGTCATCTGAACAGAGCAACGTCTCCACTGTGTACTTTTGGCAAAGGAGAAGCACTGCTTTGCAAATTTCTTTTAAAAGCAATATGGACATTTCTTTGCATCTTGACAAACTGCTGCTAATTATGAAAAAAGAGTAACCTGTTTGTGTTCATGTAGTAACTATAAGTACTTGCAGTCAAATCTGCTTTCAGCACAGGGATGATTAAGAGAAAAGGATATGTCTGGTTTATTTATTTGCATGCATAGGCAGATGTTTATATAGACACTGGTTTGGGAAGATTGTTGCAGTTTTGGCTTCTTTGCTGCTTCTTGCTTCTTTCTTCAATTAAAAAAACCCAAAACCACTACTAGATAAAGCAGGTGCTCTCTTTGTTTGTTTATTCAATAAACTGTAGGGAAAGATTGCCTATAACTGGGTGTTAGCAACAGACTCATTTTGTAAGAGAGTAGAGCAAAACCTTTATCCAGAAGGTTGTATGATCATAGTCCTGCATAATCAGTCTCTGATAGCTCTGGCGAATTGTAAGGGTCATTTCTCAGAGTGAATGTGCATGGCTGGAGTGAAATGAAATGCCATAAGTGATGCCCCTTTTATGAAAATGTAACCCTGCTACAAGGTCATCCTGAGTTAACTGTGCTCATATTTGAACTCCTCTTGTGATTTCAGATTCCAGAGAGGTGACTACCACATCGATGTCTGCATCAATGACTACCTGGATGTGTTCTGCCCTCACTATGAAGACTCAGTGCCAGAAGATAAGACCGAACGCTATGTTCTGTACATGGTGAACTTTGATGGCTACAGCTCCTGTGATCACACTTCCAAGGGGTTCAAGAGGTGGGAGTGTAATCGGCCGCATTCCCCGAATGGACCATTGAAGTTCTCGGAAAAGTTCCAACTCTTCACGCCCTTCTCACTAGGATTTGAGTTCAGGCCAGGCCGGGAATATTTCTACATCTGTGAGTATATAGAGATTTCCCATTGTTGCACAGCGGGTGTAAGAAACCCAGCTAATTTTTCACCTATGTGCTGTGAAAATACAGAGGGCCAAGTAGTATAAAATGCAGATGTCTTACAGTGAACACAGGCTTAAACTATCCTCAGATACATTAGCTAGGAATCTAGCTGGTGAAAATGAGATTAAATCACAGCTTCTTGTCTCACATGAAATAGCATGTCAGCCTGTTTACTGAACCACAGCTGACATTTAAAGTAAAATGCACTATTACTTTTATTTCAGCACTCTGAGGTGGAGGAGGATTGGGCAGGAAGGGTGGTATGGTAGCTGTCCCCAAATATGAGGAAAAGCCATTAATCCTTTGCATATGAAATACCTGGATTTTCTTATTTGCTCAGATGAAATATTCTTGTCTCTGTAGTATTTATGATCCAAGGAAAGTGAGGTCTGTGCAGTTTTTCAGTGGTATTATGGTGCTGATGTCAGTGGTCCAGTGGTATTTAAAGTCATAATTTCTTAGGCTAAGTAATTCTAGTGTGTAGCTAAGTGGCTTCTTTTTTCTACCTTCCTTTCCCCCCCCCAGCTTTTTCATGGATGAGCTGTTTCTGTCAGTGTGGGCGATGGGAGTGCTCTGGAGCAGGAGGCAGGCAGATGAGAAGGCCTGATCAGGGCTGCTCTGGACACCCAGAGGATGTGCAGGAGATGGCATGTGGGTCTCAGGAAGTAAAAACACCAGGAGGTTAAAAACAGTGAATTATGAGAACTGATTCTCTGACTCCACTGAGCAACTCATTTATTTAATACTCAACAAACATCTTATTACATCAACTTGTTTTGTACCTGTATCTGTCACTTGTAACAAGTTTTGACTGCTCCAGCAGTACTTTTTTCTTTTTTTAGTGTTAGACTACAGAGCTGAAAGGTTTAGACAGACTCTAGATCCCGATAAGCATCACTTTCATTAGTGTAGCTGGCCTTTCTACTGTGAAACAGTCATTCCAGCTCATTTCACCAGAGAAACTGAGTATGTATGATCCCTGTTTTTCAGCCTCATTTCTTCATCATTGAGATTTTTGTTTTCTCTTTCTTAATCTACAGGGAAATAAGGGTCCTAGTGGATAGTTTTCCATTCATTTCTTTTTCTTCAGTCAAATAAAAACCTTTAGTGAGTAGTGGTTTGTCATCAGAACTGTGCCTTGTTATTGTGCTGAAGCACAATAGTATAAAAAATACTAAAAATAATTCAAAAAGCAAATTTTGATTTTATTTAAAACTGGTTTTTTATATGGGCATGAGAAATGATGTAAAAATATCAGAGTTAAGTATATAATGTTCAAGGTAAATAAATCTCCATTGTGTAGGCCCAGTCCTACTTGTGTCACTTCAACCATAATTCTATGTCAATCAAAACTCTGATATCAGGCTTCCTTGGAACAGTGGGAGGGTTTTTTGTGTACTTTTTAATTTGTTTTTGTTTTTTTTTCAATTCACTTCCAGACCTTCTGTAAAATAAGCAGGAGTAGTTAGGCTAAGGAATGCAGTCTTTGTCATCACAAGGTTGCAATAAAATGTAGCACAGTAGGTGCAAGTAAGTGCATAAGTAGGTGCAAGCCTAAAAAAAATAAAAATTGGTCTTTTAAATTTTTAAAAAAGAAAAAAAGATAAATGTTTAATAAAGGTGAAAACCAAACATGAAAGTGAAGGAAAAAATATGAGCCATCTCAGCTTGGGCTGTCTAGCTAATAGCTTCAATTTTAGACCATACAAAATCCATTGAACTCTCAAGCAATACTTTATTGTTGAAATATACCCAGGTTGCTTATACCTAGTTTTTCTTATTTGTGGTTAAATTCAATATGTCACTAAAAATCATGTAACATTAATTTAAAAATCTATAACTTTGATTTAACTGAGTCATTTAACTGCCAAGGGCTCCCTTCAAAATAATTGTCCAAAGTGCTTTAAAACTTGAAGAGCTTTATGATATTCAACTGCGTTGAGATGGAATTCTTTTTTTTGATGAAAGGTAAAATAGCAAAAAATTAGCAAAGAGATGTAAAGTGTTAGTTTAAACTAAGCTTCAAATGGTTTAGGGACAAAAAAAGCATTTTTCCTTCTTTTCTGTAATTTAAGTATTTTTCCTTCATTCTCGACTTTGATGAGAACACTGACAAGGCTGATGCTGCAGCAGTTACAGGGAAGCACTGTACACTAAGTTAGCAATAATATGCATACCTTCTCAGGTCACGGTTGTCCATCCTGGAATGTTCTTTCTCATAGTTTGTACTGAAGAAACAAGCTGGTAAAATGTTGTTTCTTGTTTTCTCCATCACAGTTGTAGGCAGGTGCTAGTTCAGGCAATGGTGACCACTTTTGTTACCTTTCTGTAGCTGCATGTTAAAGAAATTAGTGCTTTGCCGTGAAAGACTTCCTTTCCTTTCTGAAACTTTTGCCCTCTCTGCAGGAGAGATGGAAGGGTGATTATATAGGATCAGTCTGGTACGTTCTATTTAAGGGTTACAAAATATGTTGTGTCACCTAGACCTCTGGAAAGACAGAAATAATAAGTGGCTGATTAGCTTAATTACTGTCTGGTGCTTTGTCAGGATTCTTCACTGTTTATCTTTTAAGGATGTGGCTTGCCTCTCTTGCTTTCATTAGTTTCAGCAAATGCAATAATTTGTGAACAATCACTGTGTGTTTGTGTGAACAGTTCATTTGGAAAATGTCAGTTTTCCTTGTTATGCCATTGCCTTCGTGTATTGCTCAGATGAACTTGGATCTCCCTTCTTGGTATGTTCATTCTAGGAAAATGCAAGAAAAAAAAATCTTGTCTGTCTGATATCAAATTTACATTGAAGAAGTCAATTAAACATTATAGTCATGCAATCAAAAAGTACTGATTCAGTTTACTTTTGAAAGAAGAAAAGCTTATTAAATAGTTATAGAGAAATTAACTTTTATGTACTTAAGGTGGACTGGGGAAAGTAAATAATGTATCATGACCTGAAGTCTCAGTTTTTACTTAGTTCTTAGCAGGTGCTCACCAGGGGTTAGTGTATGCTAGTGTGAAAACAAACAAAATAGTATTACTACTGAAACAGAAGCAAATGGAATATAGAGAAAGCAGAAACTAAATAGTGTCATGGCAGTGATTTTAATGTCCTTTGGAAGGGAACCTAAGTTTTGGTATTCAGGGTAATGTGAGGTACGTGGACGGTGAGTTGAACTCAAAAGCAAGGAAGGGAAGAAAGTCCTAAAATTTTTAATGTTACTTAATTATATATTTCAAAATGAGTCTATAATTTCCATTATTTTAACTTAATTATGGGTGATTTGTTTTTATTAATGTGCTAGGTATTGAATAAAATACCAGTGGCAGCTTGGCAAATACACATCAGGGCTGTTGAAATAAAAAAAAAAGGAAGACGTGGCTAGAAGCAGGCTGCTACAGATTACTGCAGAATCCTGACCTCAGTTTGCAAACCATGCTCCTGTGTTGATTTAAGCTAGAGCACATTGCTCTTTTCTTGAAAACAGTGCAATATTGATGTAGTGTCAAAAGTTGTACCAGTACTAAACTGTAGCATATGTTTTTCCAGTTATTTCATTCAAGAACTTGGTATTTTACAGGATTTATCCTTAAGAAATCCGTGGCATTTTTATCATCTTATCCTCCAAGATTTTATAGGTATTGTTTATTTAGGCATTTGATCATTATGAATATTTTCATTTATATATGCTTATTCCCTTTTCCTAGAAAGACAGGTAGGTTTGCTCTTCTTTACAGTCCTCTTGCTGCTTGCCTCTTCTCCACAAGATCCTGAAGATTTTTGCTAGCAGTTAGCAAGCTTTACATGAAATGTATCTAAACATAACTTGTGGGGTTTTTTTCTCCCATTCTCCTTGAGGAAAGAGCTCCTTTGATCTTTTAAAAATACTGTTGTTTTACCTGTGGTTTATTTGTATAACCTCTTTTTGTTACAGTTTCTTTCTAGTTTTATCTTCTGCATGTGTCTTTCTGATTTTATTTCAAAATGCTTGTGCCGTTTCTTTGTGTCACCTTTAATGATGTGTCATTACCATTGTGTCTTTGTTGTCACCATTTATTTTCATGAAGCTTCTGATTGTCAATTCAGAAGGCTTTTGGGAAATTGTATTGCTTATGTCCACATCAAGATAATGTGATTTTATGATTCGAATTTAATAATGGTTTAAATAACATTTTTTAAGTTGTTCTTATATTTATGATTAAATTAAGAAGCAGTTCGTAAAGTTGTGCTTTCAGTTGTACATGTGCTTCTTAATAACATCCAGCCATCCTGTATTCCTTTTCCTCATAGAATGTATTCCCAAGCAACCTGCAATACTACCTGTTCCCTTGATTTTTTGTTTGTATTTGTCCCTCATCATCCTTGTTTCTCTGTGCTAATTCCTTCTTTTCCTGAAATTTCTGATTCTGAGGGCTTTTGTTCAAGTGACATTCCACCCTGACAGTTTTAGCTGCTGCTTCTATAAGAAAACTTGTGATTTGCATTATTTCTAGTATTAAGTTGTCTCTCTTCTGTTCACTCGTTCCATCTCTGTGTCTGGAAGTTGTCCTCACCATGTTCCAAAAACTGTGGAACTGTTTGAAAATCCCGCTGTCATTTTTCTCTTAACAGCTGCCAGGTAGCTGGACCATCCCTCTGCAACCATCTGCACACCGCTGGAGGGTTCTTTGATTCTAAAGATCTTAAGGAAAAAAAATAGTAGAAAAAAGTGTTTGAATACTCCACCTCTACTGCCTATTAATTAGGTAGTTAGCTTATAGTATTAAGGTCTCTAGCTAAAGTTTTGTTGAGGCAGTAGCTGTTCCTGATGACAGCAAAGCTGAACTTGCTCTCTTCTCCCCCTTCTGCCATGTTTTGTGTGCGTTTAAGAGTTGAGTGCTTGTTTGTGCTCTTGTTTTTCTTTAGTCTCTGCTACAATCCTCTGTCTGTTTCTCTGTTCTGTGCAATT